ATTAAATTAACTTTTTTTATATGCATTTTTTTTTTACTTTATTTAATTTTAAGTAAGTTATTTACATTGTATTTAATAATTGCATTTAATTTTCATTAACTCCATCCTGACCCCTGCTTCCAAGACCAACCCTGAGGCCACCAACCAGCCAATCACAGAGCAGGAGATCCTTAATGTTTTCCAGGGCTTGGCAGGGGTGGGTGGAGCTTAAGCATCTTTTCGATAATGTTGACTGCAAAATCTCAAAAAAGAAAAAACTAACTGTGATAAATGACTGCCCTGCAGTAGCAAAAATCAGTTGCATAGCTATTATTGAAGGTTATTTTTAGACCAACGGCATCTGGATATTGCAATATGTACAAGGCAAAGATTCAGATTTTAGAAGACTGATAAGCATAAATTATATAGGTCAAAAGGCACTTTAAAACAATTGAGGTTTAATAGTATTAAAGACCTGTTATCATGTGTGGTCTGTGGTAAAGTATATATCACTGATACTGAATGTCAATTGACTTTAATGTGGAAATTAATATTATAATTTTAACTGCATTGACACTATCGGATGAGAACAAAATTTGAACTGAATTCAGCTGGAAAATGACACTAACTTTGCAACCCACGCTGTTTTTGAACTAAATTGGATCAACTTTGAACTGACTTGAGCTGAATAATGACTCTATTGTCTTATGTAGAGCTGCTTATAGCTGAATTGAAGTTTACAACATTGACAGTTATTAAACTGCATTGATACAATGTTCTAAATTGAGCTGAATTATGATATTATTAACTTCTGTCAAGCTGCTTTACAACTCAAATTGAATTTGTTTCATAATTGATGAATTTTAACATGAACATTAACAGTGTTATTTTCATATTTATTAATGTGAAGCTTCTGTGAAGCAATCTGTATAGTATAAAGCGCTATATAAGTAAATGTGACTTGTCTAGATTATACACTGTATATCTCCAGTTCTGTCCGATGCAGATCAAATCCATTTATTCCTGTACTTTCTGTTCCTTTTAACCTCTGTTTGACCTCTCTCCATCTCCCCCTCTAATTTTTCTGTCTCTCTCAGGGAGATGGAGGGAAAGTCCGTTCTCAGTACACCATCACCACCCAGTTGCTCATTCTCTATTACATCCTTTCGTATGAGGAAGCTCTGCTCGCGAATACAAAGACGTTGGGTAGGTATATTATATTACACACTTAACTGACATAATTTAGGTGGAATTTAC